ATTATATAAAGAACGTAAGGATATTGTGAGCCTCTCTGTTGAACGAACTGTAGAACTGGCTTGTCGAGCTCGAGCACCTCATTGTTGTAAGTATTTACAGACCCCCATGTGCTACTTATGATCATTTTAAAAGGATTGTGGAAGAAGTTTTACTCAAACTTAGTAAACAGAACAAGTCTGTTGTAATGTGTGGAGACTTTAATATCAATCTCCTTGAAACTTCTTCCATTAGTATTAAGTTTCGCTCATGGTTTAAATCGTATAATCTTGTAAATTTATTCTTAGAACCAACACGTATTGCTGGGCCTAGTGCGACCTGTATAGATAACATTTTTACAGATGTTAAGCCCTTGCAAAAATCAATTATTCAAAATTTAAGTTCAGATCACTGTGGACAGTTAGTATCACTACCTTACATACACAAAAAACAGAAAAATAAGAAAGTTGTGTTTGTTCCAATAAATGAAAATCGCTTGGAGAGGTTTAGAAGTAATATAATAAAAAGATTTCCATCACTTTCGTTTAAAAATAGTGCTAATTATTTGTATGCTACATTATTTGAAATTATAAGTTGTGAATTTAGTAGAATATTTACTTTTAAAACTTTCTCTTTTAACAATCGCAAATCATTTAATGAATGGGCGACAGTAGGAATTTATAAAAGTAGGCGAAGGTTATATGAGCTTTATGATGAAAGATCATATAAAAGTAGTGTTATATTTAAGGATTATGTAAAAACATATTCTAAAATATTTAAAAAAGTGTGCTCCACTGCTAAGGCTTTACATTTAAGCAACAAAATTAAAACTGCATCCGACAAAATTAAAATGACCTGGAGAATAATAAATAGTGAAACGGGCAAGGTCAAACCGCGCAACTCGGATTTTCAATTGAATATTAACAATAATTTAACGCGATCTGATCAAGAAGTTGCTATGGCTTTTGAGAAACATTTTACTGATGTTCCTTTTTTGACAACAAAATCATTAAATTCTTCTCCTACTGTCGCCGAATCATTGCTCAAACAAAATGTAAAGGCTTGTTCAAATACTTTTAATTTCCATAGAATACTGCCAAAAGATATCGTTAAATATTTTAAGACTATTGATGTTAAGAAAACTGCAGACTTATGGGGGATTTCCGTTAAAGTTATTTTATCTATAATAGATATATTAGCACCTTATCTAGCCACTATATTTAATATAAGCGTCGAATCTGGTGTGTTTCCTGATTTAATGAAACATAGTAAAGTCATACCTATATTTAAATCTGGTAGTACATTAGACCCCGCCAATTTTAGACCAATTTCTGTACTACCAACATTAAGTAAAATTTTTGAAAAAATTATTTTAGATCAGATGTTAAGTTTCTTTAATATTAATAAATTGCTACATAAAAATCAATTCGGTTTTACAAGGGGTCGCTCGACAACTGACGCTGGAGTTGAGCTTATTAAACATATTTTTTGTGCATGGGAGAATTCAGAGGATGCTTTGGGTATATTTTGTGACCTTTCCAAGGCCTTCAACTGTGTTCACCATGAGACATTAATCAGGAAGCTACAGTACTATGGTGTCAAGAACACAGCGCTTAAACTTATTATGTCATATTTAAGTAATAGAAAACAGAAGGTTATTATCAATGGTAAAAGTTCTTCCGGGTCACCTGTACTAATGGGTGTTCCTCAGGGCTCGATTCTCGGCCCATTCCTGTTTCTGGTGTATATTAATGACTTACCTCACCTTGTAGGGGATAGTCATGATATAGTATTATTTGCTGATGATACTTCCTTGATTTTTAAACTTAAACGTCAATCATTTAAATGTGACGAAGTGAATAATGCTATATCAAAATTAGTGCATTGGTTTAACGTTAATTATCTGCATTTGAACGGAAATAAAACTAATTGTGTTAAATTTGCAACAACAAATGTTAAAAATCTGAATACCAATGTATTTTTAAATGGGAAGGAATTGAGCCCTGTCGTATCCACTGTTTTTCTTGGCATCACTCTTGACACAAAGCTCCAGTCGGGCCCCCATATATCCAAATTAGCAAGCAGACTAAGTTCTGCAGCCTATGCTGTAAAAAAGATTAGAGGTCTCACTAGTGTCGAGACAGCTAGATTAGTTTATTTTAGTTATTTCCATAGCATAATGTCTTATGGGATTTTGCTATGGGGAAATGCGGCTGATTCAGAAACTATTTTTGTTTTACAGAAGAGGGCCATTAGAGCTATTTACAATCTAAAACCGAGAGAGTCTCTTAGAGATAAATTTAAAGAAATTAATATATTAACTTTGGCCTCTCAGTATATTTACGAAAATTTAATGTATGTTCACAAAAACAAAGATAGTTTTAGTAAAAAAAGTGATGTACATTCTGTAAACACTAGGAACAAACACATGCTAGTGATGCCAGTTTCTCGACTCCACAGAGTCAGTAATTCATTCTTGGGGCAATGTATACGCTATTACAATAAGGTCCCGGAAAGTGTACAGGTTCTCTCTATTACCAAGTTTAAATGTTTTATTAAGCTGAAACTGTATAAAAAGGGTTATTATAGTATAAATGAATACATGGTTGATAATAACCCCTGGGAATGAGGTGGTCGCTTCCAAGCAGTTTCCAAAATAAAATTTGTAAATAGTTCGTAATCATTTATATTGTAAAATTTATTTTAAAAAAAAGTCCCGCTGGGTTTCTTGCTGGTTCTTCCCAGGACAGAGGGTTTTTTTCGAACCAGTTTTAAAGTAAAAAATAACTTTCAATAAGAATTACACATGTAATGTATATTGAATAAAAAATATTCTATTCTATTCTATTCTATTCATCTTTTAAATTCAAAATGCGTAGTAATGCAACTCATTTTCATTCATAAATATCTAACGCCTACTATTTTACTACGAACGCAAACATTCGTAAGGGTTGATCTGTCGACAAAAACGTTGTGAATTGAATCGCGCACAGAGGAGCGCGTTTACGCGTAGTTGTTGCCCATAAATCACATTCGATTTGGGATAATTTCAAATAAAAGTAGAAGCCTTATTTACTCGCAATTTCATAAACGGCAGCAACGGTATATCATTATTTATATATTTAAACTTAAGTTTAAAATTTGGCTACTCTTTTGAAATAATCATATATATGTTAATAAGTGACTTTTTTTTTTCATTTAATTGTAATGTGTCATGTGTGTAGATGTAAATATTGTAATACATGTCTTTATGTCTTAATGTTCAAGAAGACCCATTTTCATTTAATAAGTCCCTTTACGTCACAGTCTTCGCGACATTTGACTGTATATTGCTGGCAAATTCCATACTTTATGTTTTAGTTCGCATATTTGCAACGGCATTTCTTAATCGGAACAGACTCTAGTTCAAACCTAAGACTAATTATAAACTATTTTTGAAGTTGAAACTTCTTTAGAATTGTTGCGATACACGATGAAACGAAACATCGACACTAAAAAGAGACAAACATATACATCTAGCCTGCGAGAGAAAGAGATAGAATACAGTATACAATGTTCCCTATTATCTCGGTGTCCTTTTCTGAAGGTTTCACTTCTACCGCGTGTGAAATGTACTCATGTTTTTTGTAATAAGGCGGTAAGTGTACTCAATGTAAATTTCAATCATAGTTAGCTCTATAACGAGCGCAGTGACTTGGCATTGAATTACGGCGCTGAGGGCCGCGGATTCGAATCCTGCGCAGATCACTGCTGCACGGGTCCGGATGTTTGTCCTTGTAGAACTTTTGTTTGTAAACGCCCTCCACGATACAGGAGAAAATCCTTGTACCATTTAAAAATATAAAAAAATGCGTGAGTGTCGTGGAACACTCTGTTGGAACGAAGTTCCTTGCGTAGTATATTATTATTGATAAACGTAGGTATTATATTATTGATTAACAAATACAAAATTAAATAAATGACTTACTAGCGTCTATTAAAATGAAGCATCATTTGAAATAAAATAATATTTTTTTCATGGCAAGATAAGAAAAAGTGCGAGGGAGATGGATATTATTCTATCTCGCTTCCTTCTTCTTTCTTTTTTATGGCGGTTTTGATCATTCTCCAATGTCAGCGTGAAAGCGTTTATTGAGTAGAAGCTCAGTAGTTACAAATACTATGCCCATATACAAGAGAAGATTGTGATAGTACAAGTATCTTTTTTCCTTTAAACCAATTTTTTCCCCTTTTATCTCGCTTCCTTATTTCGCCGCCAAGGCCGTCTACACTATGACACAAGGGGTAGTGACGAAAAATCTTACACTTTTTGTCGCCTAGCTCCCATCCGCCATACCGATAAAGAACTTCGTTCCAATATATAGCAGCAGGTTTTTAATACTATCATAGTTTTCAACTGCGAATGTCATAATACTATGATGTCACAAGTGTATGCTTACTCTTTTTGATTGTGGTGACATAACGAAAAGACAAGTAATCAATATAGATTCAAAATAAAAACATTTTGAATATGTATAATCTTAAATATAAGAATGTTAAATGTGTGACGTTTATTACACAATAATATGACATCTAAATAATTGTAACTTTAAAAAAATAAAATCCGACGTCTAATTGCTAAAAAGAAGTTATTTATTAAGCCACCCTTAGGAGTGAAAATTTTTCTCCAAATTTATATAGGACCACTCTTGTTATAACCTATTTAATAAAAAAAGAATCACCAAAATCTTCGCAGATTGTGAACCAATTTCAATTGAGAACCTCCTCCTTTTTGAAGTTGGTTAAAAAGTAAAAATTAAAGTTAGAAAACTAAAGTCCACGTGAAAGAGCTATGCTGCAGCTATATTATGATTATAACTTATAATACAAATAGATCGGCTAATTTGCTTACGACATTTTCTCAAAGAATGAAAATTGTCTACCATCTCGATAAATTGTTCATGTACCACCATAGACGTTTATTTTTACAGCAGAACAAGAAATTTTTATTTGTATAGAATAATTTTATAATAGCAACACTCACGGACTACACAAAGTAATGAGTTGGGCCTCGAAGTCCACCCTGGACAGCAATGCGTGCTGTTGCGACTCCGGCACACGTGGGGGCTGGAACAAAGAGATACATTAGCGAAAGCATTCAATAAAAAAAAACTACAAATGGTATAATAGATAGTTATATACAATAATTAACTGTATTACTTTTTTCGAGTTGAAAAATGCATCTAGGTATATTTTTTGTGATTTTTGTTAGCTAGTTGGCCTTTACAACTTCATTGGTCTCAGTGCTCACGGATGCAAGACCATGAGTTACATAAAAGGGAGCTTCCGGCTTATGTCCGAACGTCAGATTTTCAGTACGGTGTTCACCAATCAGTGTACAGATGAGTTATCTAACCGCCGTCTGAGTAGGGGTGAGTGAGACCCGTGTCTGACAGCTAACTTGTGTCCGTGGATGTTCTAAGTGGTGAGAAGCACCATGTCATGCGCGTGTATGGCGTGTACGCTGTGAGGGTCGCGTCTCATCCTATTGACATTTGTACCACAAAGTGTATGTGTGATGAACCTGCGGCGACATTTGGGTCGTCGAGATCGAGATCTTGTCTCGCACACACGTCTTCCTTTTTGCTCAACTTATTGTCTTACATCACATTTCTCATTCACACGTACGGCTAATAATTCATAACACATCTCTTCTACGCCGACATTACATCACATTCTTACAGTACGGATTAAACAACACTTTTTTTAAATTTTTTATTATTTTCATACTTACAGCTACCATTACAGGGTTACATGTCGCTGTGGTGCAGTAATATACAGGTTTTACAATATACGGCCAAGTTTGCAGAGAAGATTCAGAATAACTGACACCGGCGAAGAAAAAAAGTTTATTTAAAAAAAATCAAAACTCTTCTGTAGGTACTTTTTATCTTTTAAGTTCAGAATGGGTGGTAAAGCGTTATTTTAACTGATTGTCATTAATTAATATCTAACTCCTACTATTTTCCTAAATCGATCGGTCGGCAGAAACGTTGTCAACTGAATCGCACACAGAGGAACGCACGTATAAGCGCGTAGTTGTTGTAAATAGATAATTTAAAAAAATTAGAAGCTTTATTTACTCTTATTTTCAAAACTGCATTAATTGTATATCATTATATATATATATATATATTTGAACTTAAGTATAAAATTTGGCTACTCTTGGAAAAATAACCCTGCATAAGTGAACATAATTATTTAAATTACTTGCAAGAAGCTAATGTGTGGAATTTTTTTTATTGTTTTGATGTTGGTTTTTAATTGTTATTTAAAGTTCAATTAGGTATATTTTTGTCATTTTTATAAAATTAAGGATGACAAATGTGCGCACCGTCCCCCCAAATGTAATCAAAGATAGACATACATTTATCGTCGATCAAGAATGAAAAGGTAAATGCGTTGTCACCCCTGAGGGTTAATATCACAAAAGTTTAACCATTTCTCATCGCTCACCATACCTTTACCTTTTTTTACCGTTAAACTCTACGGCAATCACAACAGTAATTTAGTACCTTTAATATAATTGATGGGTATAGTATACATAATGGTAATAAATTAAATAACATACTTTCATATATTACTAAATCTAATCCATACATTTTTCATTCAATTTCATTTTAGAAAACATAGCCCTATATACAACAACTTAACAATTATTTACCTACATGTTACAACGCATACTCGTAAACGCAAAGACTATCGCTATTTACTTATACAAATATTATTAGCCGTAAATATTATTAGCCGTAATAGCTGATATTCTATGAGAAAGCCACTTCACAGTAGTACACTTCGCTTACCAGTGCGAGGTTGCCAGTCGAGAACCTTTCTTCCCCGTCGATTAGGGAAATCCTATGTTAGCAGTGGACTTGCAAGGGCTATAATGACGATGATGAATATTCTATGAGCGCGTGGCCTGTCCTCGGTTAAACGACGTATTCCTGTTGCAGTAGTCGTTTTGTAGTAGTGCTACTTCGTAAAATATGGGATCAACTGGCAATCAACCCCGGCTTCGCATTATTTCTGGGTCTCGACCATAGCGCCACCTACTGCTAACTATAGCTAAGAACTATCCAGGCGACCCCATTAGTACTCCATAAAAAATTCAATAAAATGGTGCAAAAACAAATAAAAAAAATCAGTAAAGGCCTTTTGGTAGAAGAAAAATTATGATCGCATGCACACTGGACTTTTATGTCCAAATACTGGAAACCCGCGCGGTTTTGCCTGGGTGGTATCTAATAATGTAATTTATTTAATTTTTAAGACATTGACGATTTCGGATAAAATATACTCTATATCTATCCTGGCATTGCTCTCTACTCGAGCTTAACAGTAGGCAGATCTTTCGATAATATAGACAGACTTCTTCGGTATTATAGAAATATCGATATTATACGTGGTAGAGCCATGCTGCAGCTATATTAGTAGTATAGTTGTAGCACGAATGGGTCGGCTCGATCGGGGAAGGACCCGCTCTCACAGAATACGATCGTAAAATATCAGCTTGCCACTGCTGTGTTTCGTATGGTGAGTGTAGAGAACCGGAGACCTATTTAACTGGCAAAGAGGCATTCCATCTTAGTCCTAACGGGTGACGACGCATCTGCATTTTGATTCTTTGTTGAGGATAAATGTAAATGTCTATGGGCCGCGGTAACCACTTACCATCAGGTGGACTGTGTGCTCGTTTGTCAACCTATCCCATAAAAAAAACGAATGGATCGTCTCGACCGGAGAAGGAACAAACCCTCACAGAATACCATCGTAAAATAGCAGCTTGCCACTGCTGTGTTTCGTATGGTGAGTGTAGAGAACCGGAGGCCCTTTTTACTGGAGAAGAGGCTTTCCATCTTAGTCCTCACGGGTGACAACGCATTCTGCACTTTGATTCGTAATAGAGGATAGATGTAGATGTCTATGGGTCACAGCAAACACTTACCATCAGGTGGACTGTGTGCTCGTTTGTCACCCTATTCTATAAAAAGAGACACTTTAATTTGATTTATATCTATAGATGTATAGATAAGACTATAATAAATGTGATGTTGTTAGCCCTTTGGTTCTGATATCATTATGTGTCTCAGGAATCAGCTATATATAAAGGAGAATGATGATGATAATAATGGTTTTGTTAGTGATCAGTTAGACACTTCAAAAGGTAAAGACCGTGACGTTTGCACAATGACCTTCTGTTTTCACACATGTAACGAAGATGACTGCATTCTTAAATTTGTCGACCGGCCGTAACAAAGTTGAAGCGTACAAAGCGATTAGTTACACCTTTTAATAACATTAGTGGACTAATTTATGTCTCAGGTCAAAGAGTACAACACCATGTCCATTAGTAGCGCGGATATAAGCATTACAATACGGGGACTTGCAACTCTGGATAAGATGGATGCGAATACAATAATGAGTCAACTAGATACATCGTGAAAAAAATATGCAAGCTATCTTTCTTTTGTTTCAAAAAGACTTTACTAAGATTTTTTCGTGTATTGTTTCTTTACAGAATAAAAGTGATAAACGAGCACACAGTCTACCTGATGATAAGTGGATGCTGTGGTCCTTGGACATCTATATTTATCCTCGATGCGATGCAGATGCGTTGTCACCCGTGCGGACTAAGATAGAAATGCCTCGTTTCCAGTAAAAAGGATCTCAGGTTCTCTACTCTCGCTATACGAAACATAGCAGCATTGAGCTGCTTATTTACGCAGGTATTCTGTGAGATCGTGGTCTTTTCCCGGTCGAGACAACCCGTTCGTGCTACAACTATAATATAGCTCCAGCTTTGCTCTATCACATGTAATTGTGGCTGAATTTTACTTGCGATAATTTCGTACGATCTAAAATCCAGACGCGAAACAATTATTTGTAGACCATACAAACACTTGTTGCCACGAGAATCAAGATCGCGACCACGCAGCGCCGCAGCACGCATAGCCACTTCAAACACATTCGGATTTTTTTCTTTTATTTGCATAACATTGAAATATATACAATATTGAAAAAACTATAACACAAAACCTGAAGCTGCAAACTTAAACTACTCGTATCATACAATCCTACTCCCCGCGGTATCGTGCCAAGAACGCTGGCAGCGATTCTTCGCTGAATGGTTATATTTAGCCTTCAAACGAGGAAAGAACCAGGCCTCTCATCACCAGCAGCAACTACCAGTCGCGGATACAGTTCCATTAGGAACTTCACCGCACGTGGATCCCACGGACCGATAGTGTTCTACAGCAAATGCCACATATATATAGTCGGCTCTCAGAGACTATACTAAAGTATGTAGGATATACTAAAGATGTTGTAAAAACTAAATAGAAATAAAACTTAGGACATGACTACAATTGTTCTGAGATTATCATAATCATCATCATCACAGCCATTCATAAGTCCACTGCTAAACATAGGCCACCCTCGAGTTATTCCACAAAGCACGGTCCTGAGCCACCTGCATCCATCGATTTCCTGCATATCTTACCAGGATGTCGCTCCATCTAGTGAGGGGGTCGCCCTACACTTCACCTACCGGTACGAGGCTGCCACTCGAGAACCTTTCTTCCACATCGGTTGTCGGTTCTTCGAGCTATATGGCCGGCCCACTCCCACTTCAGCTTACTAATCTGTTGGGCTATGTCGGTTACTCTGGTTCTACTGCGGATATCCTCATTTCTAAGTTTATCACGGAGAGAAACCCCGAGCATAGCCCTCTCCATAGCTCGCTGAGTGACCTTGAGCTTCCTCATATGGCCAGCAGTGAAGGACCACGTCTCAGATCCGTAAGTCATCACTGGCAACACGCACTGGTTGTACAATTTCGTTTTCAGGTTTTGAGGTATGTATAACGAGAAGATTTGTCGTAGTTTCCCGAGTGAATAATGTACCCGCCATTGATGTTAATACCGTATCCTTTATAGTCCAGTACCTAGAAAACGTCTTCCGCTGTAGCGGTGAAGAGTTTCGGGGATATAACGTCACCCTGTCTTACACCTCTCTGCAGTTGGATAGGTTTCGCACTCTGGTTCTGTACTCGGATAGCCATCGTAGCC